GTCCGTTCTACTACACAATGTTAAGCAACCTTTGGCGTTCATATCCGAGTGCCTTGCTGCTCCTCTGTTTCTTTTTTTTTCTCCTTCAGAATCTTGCTCTGAGAGCACAGCTATGAAACTTCTGACGTTTGGAGCAAACTTAACGTACGCGTCCTCTCAAGGTCATAGTTTACAGCAAGCGCTCTACGATTTCACTTTATAACAACTATAAACTTAATAAGTTGGGAAGCATTTTTCGAACCAACAAATGTTGTAATTTATAGATCATGCCTGTAAAAACGGTGTGTACCTGCACATGCAGAAATATATTATTATTATTATTATTATGAAAGTCAAAATTGATTTCAAAGGACAATCTGGAGTTAAATATGTTTAAAAGGATAAGAAGATATAAAAAGAATATCTAATGTGTCGGGGAACTAGAAATCATATTAATAACGGTAATATTAATAAACACGAACATAATCAGACTTCATATATTAAGATAAAGAGAAATAAAACGAAATAGACGTGAAAAGATTTAAAGTTTTTATTTTGCTTTTCAAGCAATTAAATAAATGACGGACCTTGTTTGTATAAATCATTATTGAATACATTGATGTTTAATAGGTGACATAATCCACTTTCGGAAAGAAAATCGTCAAGGAGGCTTTTGAACCGGGTTGTAGTTTCACTGCAACGGAGGTTCACTGGCAGTCCGTTCCACATGGTTGAATAGCGAATAAGGAAAAAATTCTGACGTAAGTTTGTGTGGGTTCTTGGAATCGCTAGAATGTTCTCCTTATTGCGTAGATTGTGGGATGATATTATAAGGTATGAAGGGGTAGATACCGATGAGTAGGAAATACCGTTAATTAGCCGGTAGATAAAGACAAGATTTAATTTGATACGTCTGATCCAAAGAGGTTCTAAGTTGAGTTGTTGACATCTTTGGTAATAGTCTTTGTTATCGGAATACCCCAGAACAGCTTTGGTGAACTTTCTTTGAACACCTTCAATTCTAATCAGGTCATTATGTCTACAATTACTGTAAACTAAAATACCATATTCAAGAATGGGTAAGATACATTTTCTGCATAGTAACAATCTCGATTCGATATTATTGAAGTTTATCATTATCAATCCGATCAGCTTTCTAGCTTTGGATACTTGAGATATAATGTGTTCAGAAAAGTTCAGACTGTTGCTATATCTTAAACCCAGGTCACGAACAGTGTTGAGAGGTTTGAGTGCATGTGTGAGTGCATGTCTGTTCCACTACAAAATGGCAAGCAAAGTTTGACGTTCATATCCAAGTGCCTTGCTGCTCTTCTGTCTCCTTTTTTTCTTTCCTCAGAATCTTACTCTGAGGGTACAGATATAGGACTTCTGACGTCTGGAACAAACTTGACGTACGCGTCTCCTTAAGTTCATAGTTTGCAACTAGCGCTCTACGAGTCTACTTTATAACAACTATTAACTTAATAAGTTGTGTTGCATAAATACTTTGCACGACCAGAATTCTAACACAATTATATCAGGATTGGAACTGATGTGCAGCGTGAATGCGATGAGAGATTTGAGCACGATGAGCAATGTCTTCAAGACAACACACACAACATAGCTCACAGCTTTTTAGTTCATCTTAGCAAACCGTAGCCTGGGACAGCGCAATCACGTTTTGGTATGACAGCTAGGATCTAAGGGATGCTGATGGGGAGATTTCCCAGCTAATTCTCGGTAGAAGCTTGGAAGAGCTTTGCAATTTTTTTTACCGTATTGGTAGTTCACTTTTTCTAAAAACTCCTGGTTCTACCATTAGTTTAAAGAACTGGGCCTCATTTTATTTGGCCTCTACTGTGTTTTTGATGAGGTTAACCCTAAAAAATGAGCGCGTCCTGAAATGAAGATGTCAAAATGTCGTAGTAGATAAGAACGAACCATACTTCCATCGTCTGGCCGTGAACATTGTGGGTAAACTTCCTGTTGACAAATTTAATCAGACGTCTTGTAGTGCCAGACAACCATAACGAGCATTATGGAAGGTCATGAAAGACAGTATATTATTGGGTGAATACCTTTTGTGCTAGCAGACAGGAACATAGGCACGAGGTAGCCATATTCACTACCCCATTTCTTCTGTCCCTGAAATAAAAAGAACATGTTTGCAATAAGTAGTTTGAGATGCACATGATACCGCTAAACCTATCATACAAGAGTCAATTTCATTCCTTCCTCTATCCAATTCACACACACTTTTGTAAACTTTTGGAGTGTGAATACAACCAGTTAACGGTTTTCACTTAAAACTGACCTTATTTGTTTAATTGAGCCTACGTGAGTGATCAGGGAATATACGTACGCGATGCTTCCCGAATCACCTTCTGTAATGGTGAGACTATAATTTATGAACGACGTTTGAGCAACGCTAAACTGACCTAGCGAGTCTTCACCTAATAACTAGGACCAAATGGTCATAAATTAATGTGAGGAATAATAATTATGATTTACTGTTGATGGTTAGGGTTAGGAATTATATTTGAGGGTTCATCACGAACTGACATAAGCTATAATGCCAAAACTGTATTTAGCCAAATAAATGGGTGAATTTCGCGCCGAAATCCGAGACCTGTTATCTTATACCTGACTGGTTTGTTCATAAATTATATTCCCGCCTCTGTAACATTAAAGCTTTGTGAACTCCATAGTCCACCAGGCAAATGACTGTTTACAAACTGACTTTTTGTTTAATCGTGTCGCCTCGAGATCCGTCTGCAGTCCCGAGATGTTCAAATAATATCAAAACTCTATGAGCAAAGAATACCAATAAAGCGGAAGCCACCATTTGCAATGAGGAGGTTACCGTCGTTATCTGTGGTCTAGAATCCCAGTCCTTTAGGACCACCTGAGCCACTTTAAGTTAGAATGCATTTAAGCCTCAAGGATGTCTTTTTTAGTAGCACAGGGCCCTTTAGGTATCATGAACTGCTTCACAGAGAGTAAGGTTTCCTGATTTCCATTGTACGACTGCATTCCCCTTGTCGTCAGCTCTCTATGACTGGTAATGACGCAGCCATTCAGTGATATTGGTGTTGTGATCCTATGTTTGCTGCTTCTTAGACTCGTGTTTTTTTACCTAAGTTGGTTATGCCAAGTTGTCCTATCCGTGCATTTCCAGATGCTCAAGCACAGACCTGAACGTTGGCATTAGATAACAAAAAAGAGGAGTAAATGAATAAAGGCTATAGTAATAAAGTCATGTGGAGGCTTAAAAAATTTACGTTACCATTAGTTTTCCGGAATCAACAAATATTTTTACCGTTTCGTCCCTCAACTTTCTATTGACAAAGGCCTGTTTTCCCGTACAGATCTTTACACACCGCGTTTTGTTCTAATGGTTTATCTGAGTCCCCTTATTGATTAGTTTACGTTTTGCTTGTTAATGGATAAACCTTAACCTCTACCATTGGGGGAAATCTGATTTTATCACCCGCATTTAGTCGCTCGTCCTGTTGCTTGTTTTACTTGTTTCAGAGCCACGAATGTAACAGACAGAGAAAAAATTTGAGACGGACGGGTGGCCACCAAGGTTACAGTTTGTACTATGTGCCACTTTTTAAACAGATTATCACGACTGTGGACATATGATACATCACCAACATAAAAACCTATTTCTTGACTTGTTGGTTTATCTGCATGAATATTATATCAACATTTTTCACTGTCCTTATACATTTAATAACCTTGCCTAGGTAATATCTTATCTGTAGACCCATATTCTAAATTATTGATCATGCTGTAATGAAAGAAACACAAGTGGGGACGACTAAATGTACTTCACCACAAAATTACAGTTATTTGGTAAAATGTGCAAAACATGCGTCCAATCCTCGCCTTTACGTCTGCATCGGATCTTTCTTGTTCATCGATGATGCTGTCCAGGTATAGGAAAGTTTCCGCCTGCTCAAAATTTTCCCCACCAAGTTTGGTTGAGTTGGTACTCCTTGCATTGTATTTGAGGATCATGCTTTTTTCCTTATGTTTGTTGAGGCCTACTGATGCAGAGAGCACTTCTTTCAATATCCTTAAAAATTATGGAGCCCGTAATATGCGATGGTCTGCGTGACTACTTACTATCCATAAACTTCATTTCACCGAAACAACACAGTTTCAAGGAGGGTCACTTTCAATACACTTTGACTTCCAAAATACTTTTGATAAGGTCAGTGATATTTGTCTCATCGATAAGCCCAAAAGGTTAAGTATCAACTAACCCTTGAATGATCGGTCTACCTCACACGATGGGGATATCGTGTTTTCTCTCCCACTCCAAAAGGATAGGAAGGCACTCTGTAACGTATCGAACGGCGATCCACGAAATCAGTTCGAGGATTCAAATTCAAGCCTTATGAAGGGTGCCTCAACTTACTGAATATTTACCCACTAGAGGATAGGCGTTCTAGAGTTGGCCTTCTAACGACCTGGAGCACCCTCAACTCCTCTAGGCATAACTTTAGACACCTACATAAGCTCATTCCCAGCAGAAACTTAGGGGTAACACCTAGAAACTGGAGGAAAAACATAGAACGGACTGTTGAGACACGTTTTTCTCTTTGCAGAAAGTAATATATCAGGAGTCACCTCCGACTGAGACTGTCTAAGAGACTTCCATGAGGTCCTTTTAAGAGAAAACGTAACATTCTTACGGACTTGGGACAGCATCTCCCCAGAACTTACTAATATTTCAATTTTTGTAGTTGAATATGCCTAGGCTCCTACCCAAAGAAATCAATGATCTCCTGCGAATAGGTATGGAAGTCCATTAAGCGAAAGCTTTTATTCCATCCAGAACGGTTCGAACCCTTTTGAGGGATATTACCCCTGGTGTAACACTTAACCATACTTCCCATCCTAAAATTTAGAAAATTTTTCAGAATTATACCTCATTGCAACACAGAGTTCTCTCTTACAACACAGATACACAGAAAAGTTTGAAGTTACTGTCTTGTACAATGTTCATTGCATTGTGTCTGTTGTTTAGGTGGTTGTACTTTCGCCATCTTTGTCCTACTGGTTTGACTCATTCTTACACAGTAGTCCTATGGCTGACGAAGCTGAGCTTTTGGATTACGAGGATGAAGAGCAAGAAACAGTTCAAGAGGCAAGACCTAATGGAGAAGCTACAGCAAAGAAAGGTGTCAAAGGGGCATACGTCACCATACACAGTTCGGGATTCCGTGATTTCATTCTCAAGCCGGAATTATTAAGAGCCATCGTTGATTGTGGCTTCGAACATCCATCTGAAGTTCAACATGAATGTATACCTCAAGCCATTTTAAGTATGGATGTACTGTGCCAAGCAAAGTCTGGGATGGGCAAGACTGCCGTATTCGTCATAGCTACACTACAACAGCTCGATCCCGAAGGAGAAGCCAATACAACTGTCCTAGTCCTCTGTCACACAAGAGAACTTGCCTTCCAAATAAGTAAAGAATACGAACGATTCTCTAAATACATGCCAAAGATAAAGGTAAGAAGTGAGTACTATATTTTACCTTGAAGGTGGGTGTGTTCTTTGGTGGGATGCCAATACGTAAGGATATTGAAACACTAACAAAATCTCCCGTTCACATTGTTGTGGGGACTCCTGGTCGTATTCTGGATCTAGTGAGGAGTAAAACATTAAAGCTACAACATGTCAAACACTTCATCATTGATGAATGTGATAAAATGCTGGATACGCTCGGTAAGATTATGATACTCAACTTACTTTTATTAGATATGCGGCGTGATGTTCAAGAAATATTCCGCATGACTCCACATCAAAAACAAGTCATGATGTTTAGCGCAACCATGAGCAAAGAAATACGCCCTGTTTGCAGAAACTTCATGCAAGACGTACGTTGTTACAATGTCTGGCGGAGTTGTCTTATTTCCATTCCCATTCCCACCTGAGCTGGTTTTGCGTTCGCCAAGATGACTTAGATCATCCGTGCCAAGTACAATTTTGATGTGTCTAGTCCTTACTAACTGAGCGTATCAGCTAGCATTTGCTCTGGAACGTTCGACGACTCAGCGTTCGACCGTGGAGCATGGCAGATGGTCGCTTGGATGTGATTCACATTTGCTTGCCAAACGCATTCGTATGGGCCAGGTGGAGAATCAAAAAGCAGGCAGTTTGACTATTTCTTAATGATTAATGTTTTGTCCATGTATAACGCCAGTGGTTTCTCATTAGCGCCTACTCGGCACTTACTACGTTTTTGTTTTTAGCCGTTGGAAATATTTATCGAGAATGACTCGAAGTTGACTTTGCATGGTCTACGGCAGCATTATGTTAAAGTCAAGGAAAATGAGAAAAACAGAAAGCTCTTTGAGCTTCTTGATGAACTGCAGTTCAACCAGGTAAGCTTTAGAAATGATGTTTGCCATGCTAATACTGATGTGGGCTAGTGCCTGATCACATGCGTTTAAGAGCTTTTTTTCTGAAATACCGTTTAAAGCTGTTCATATCGCTTTAGGTTATAATCTTCGTCAAATCCGTTCAACGATGTATGGCTTTGGCTCAGTTACTGGTCGACCAGAACTTCCCCGCGATTGCAATGCACCGTAATATGGCTCAGGAAGAACGTTTGGAACGTTATCAAGCATTTAAGAACTTTCAGAAACGTTTACTAGTGGCTACCAATCTCTTCGGTCGAGGTATGGACATTGAACGTGTCAATATCGTCTTCAACTATGATATGCCAGAAGATTCCGACACCTACCTCCACAGAGTACGTTAGCAGTTCGAAAGTAAAGTAATTCTGATTTAGGTTGCTCGAGCTGGTCGTTTCGGAACTAAAGGATTAGCCATAACCTTCATATCAGATGAAGTCGACGCGAAGGTACTCAATGAAGTACAAAATCGTTTTGAAGTTAATATCAGCGAGCTTCCTGACGTTATGGAAATATCCAGCTACATGGAAGACCGATAATTTGTATTTACCTGTACATTGTTTCTACTTCTGTCTATATTTCAAATGCAAGTATTTATCAACTTATGGTCTTTCCATCAGGAATTGTCTTCTTAAATCTTAAGCTAGTTTTGGTTCGAAGTGCCGAAGTAGGAGCTAAATTGGAAATTCAAACGATTGCAAGTTTTGAGCCCACCCGAGTAAACTACATACGGTAAAGCAATAGTAGCTTATGAATACATCCACAGGTATTCTGATGTACTTGACTACATGGTTCCATTTGTTTATCGAGTATATAAGAGGCTTGTTGCTTTAAATCATCGTCAGTGAGGTGTCGCACACCCATCAGGTTGGCCTTGCTTTTGTAGTCGCTCCAAGGATGCTGCTATCCTGCTCTGTTGTGCTTGTTGCCGGTCATCGAATGTGTCCTAGGGATCTGACGAACATAAATCACTCTTTGGGTTTATCAGTATACTGCCATCCACGGTGGCTTTGTGCAGTTATATGAATTCGGTCGGTGTTGGTCTTTAAACTTTTTTCTTGACATTCAGGATTTGCTACATGCAGTACGTCTTGGTTATGGTGGGAGACCCGTGGTCTATCCACTTTGGGTGGAACGTTAACACGATTGGCTGGTCATATCTTGGTGTTATCACTTGTATGTAGCTGTTGGGTTCGGTTGATTGAACTAATTCCCATTGGTAGTAGGCTGCAAAGTCTTCCTGTGAGGCATTTGCGGCACTAGTCCCACGGGTCTCGCACCAGACTAGCAGGTGCCAATTGGTGGGTAGGGTCCGGTCTGTTAATGCTTCAAGCAGTGACCTGAAGTAGCTGTAGGACTAACACCGGTAGGTTTGCAGTGGTAACGTGGGCGAACATATGTCTCTTAACATCCATTTCATTGGTCATCTAGACCTATGCCAAGTGGTGAGAATCCATCTTAATTCAGTCTCCATGTGTTTCTGGGAGAATTATGTCATATAGCCTCGTCCGACTCAACCGACGGTGATTTTTACAGTATGAGGTGCTGTCGGTTCGTCGCACTCCCATTAACTTTACTGGCTGCATGAGTGGTGTTTTGTGTAGGACCAAGTAACTGCGGTCATGTGCATACAAAAAGGAGGACGTCAAGAGTAGTGTTCTTACCACCACTGAGGAAAACTGTAAAAAGGTTTATAACCAAGAATATTTCCAGTTGTCTCGTACAACGAATGCATCGTGTAGTTTTAAGGGGTGTTATTGTCCGTAAGATTATTGCGTGGGTCGTTACGTATTAGTCGAATATTGGTAGGATTAATACTGCCTCTCCTATGTTACACGTACTTCAAGAGGTTTGAAACACGAACCGTAGGGTATATTTCTGTTCAAATTACATTTCCTGATCCTCAATCCGATCCTATAGACACCAAATGGTTACATTTATCTCGTGAGCTTCGTTTACCTGGTACAAATAATGCAGCGGACGGTCCGTCGTGTTTTTTGATCAACGTTGCGTGGTCATCAATACTAACAAGCTTACGTTTAAGGGTTTGGTCGTAGGAAGTTACTTCCAGATGTAATCGCCCTCATCAATGAGTTTAGGTATCTCCCAATCTCAAAACAATTTAGTTTTTATTTTCAAGTTCCATTGGAATTGTAGAAATCTAGTTATTACTGTAAGGGTTCGGGGAGATTACGTGATCTCATAACTGGCATCATAAATTGATCTAATTTAGTAAAGCAGTTAAAGTCAAAACAGCGAGTAGCTGTTTCGTCGTGAAGGTCCTAGGTCCAATAAGCTTTTGGGTCGTGGATGTTTGGCGCTGCGAAGTATTGTAGTAGAACGAAACGGATGTTCGGTGGTTATCTATTCAGTAAGTTCGCGATTTAAATTACAAAGTTAGCTATTTTATGTCTGAGACTTCTTAAGAAATATATCTAGATAGGAATGTTCTGTCTACAGCTGAAATAATGCTCATAGTTCTCCGGATTTGACTCTTATAACATGACAAGATCATACTAATTGTCTTCCTTTTTTACCTCCATTTTTTGTGTGAGTTGATTTATTAAATAAACTTAATATAGTAACGATGGCTAATAAGATAATTAGGTTTCTTTCCGTGTACTTTGGTCTATAACGTAAACAATGATGTAACAATAAATCTGCTTACGTTAATCATATAGTCATGGTAGCAGTCAATGGCTCCCACACTGGATGCTTGTATCCACACGTCTTGTAAGATGTCCTGCGTTTATTAGGTTCCCTAATTTCCTTTGAATAGGATTGTTATTATTTACAGTTCCACTGAGATTTTATGTTATGTTTGGTAAACTAATTGATTGTTCAGTCGTTGCTGTGCTTGTTAACTGGATACATTTTTGTGTTTATTTGTCCAGTGATTTTATAATTGTTTTTTTACCCAGCGACTTCCCTGTTTGTGTGCTTAGTCAATGTTTATTTTCATAAATAATACAACCAGTTATCATAGTTTCCAAGTGAGTGTACCACTAATAACTAACAGTCTAAACCCACAGCCTGTCAAAGCATCGAACCCAAAACATTCAGGTGTCAAGTTGGGCCCCATACCAGAACGAACCATCTTTTTAGTATTATCTGGTTCTCAATGACATCCCAACTGAGATCAATCTGTGAAGAATACAATCTACAAATCAGAACAATCTTCGCAAGACCTTTTCAACTAAACCACCAGAGTTCTCTTTTATTGTTGGTTTTTATGATTTCGAGTGATAATTCTGATTGTTGTACATATATCCTGCTCGTTTATATTTCCAGTTTTATGATTCATTGGCTTTTTGCCAAAATAAATTGAATTTTTTTGAAAGGTTAATTTCTAGTCAACTGAACAACATTCCGTTCTTCTCTATTCTGTATAAATCATTTTAAAAAAATAAAAAGGTAAACCAACAATATTTACAGAATAAATGAATTCATTCTACTACAAGTCAGTTTTTATCAACTACTAAGATACTATTCCCCTATAGTTGATTCCAATATCAACGTGGAGTGAGAAAATATGATTTCTCTATTAACTTCATGCATACTGATAGACTTGTATCCTGAGCCCACGCCTCCGAACATCCCGTCTGGTACCGTCGACTACAGTCAACTTTGGTGAAAGCTGGACTGATCACCCACGCTCTTGTCAACGCACCCAGTCGATTTTTTGGTTTCGAATGTTTGGCATACTCTTGGTCTCGAACTTGGTCGTTATGGTAGCTTCTGGTTCCTCGGCTCAACGTGGTTTCGTCCTACGTCTGCAGCGTTTCCGGTCCGCATCCCTACGAACGCAGTCTTCAGATTCTGGATACAAACCACTCTGATGTGGTATGCCAACTCGAGCAACAAATACAACACACCGCTTCTAGTACCGTTATCCGAAAAAGACCTTCGTTGGCAACTCGACGATCAATGATCGCTTTCCTGTTCGGCCAGTTCTTCCGTCCTACAATCGCTCGTCAGCCAATCAGTCCCACGATTCAAACCGCTACTTATCGAAAGTGTAAACCCTTTCTAGCGGGGGGCTCCTGTAGTGACTTACTTTCATCACAAGAACACGACTGATTTAATGAAAACAATTATTATTATAACCAATTGTATCTGTGCTTGTTTTAATGTACGTTTGTTTAACTGTGCTAATGACAGCCATATTACTACTCCATTACTCCCCATTACTTTTTTCCGCGGATTGTGACATCGTACGTTCGTACTCTTACCCGCTGATTCCACTTGTACTTCTTTTGGCACGATCTTGGTATTCATTCGATACCACGAGATCGCCAACGAAATAAATCTGGTTACGTTTAATCTTCGCCTTCTGACTTGTTTGGCACGTGTTTCCTTGTAGTGGTGTTCATAGTCAATCTCAACTCGACTCCATGTTACAGACTTAACCATGTTTATTAATAAAATACTGAAGTGTTTTATGTAATTATACATTATACATGTGAGAACAGCAGACGAACGAGAAAGCGAAAATATTAAGTATGGAAATTAAATAGACGAAGATAGGAGAAGCAGTAAGTACTGCCCGACAACTGAGTTAAGTCTTTCTTTTCGACTGAATTTTCTCTTATCATGTACTATGATTGTTCATTTATTTCTTGGTTTTAATTTGTCATTTAATTTCTTCATAACATTTCTACATTTGATCAGCACGATTTTTGGCACTCCATTGTATTAGAAATATATATATATATATATATATATATATATATATATATATATATATCGAAATATTGTTATAAGGATCGAACAAGATAAAATCCGAAGAAACAGAAATGTGCATTAAAGCAAATTGTGGGCGATTACTTATGAGAACTAAATTATTAACAACAACTTCCTGACATGAATAAGTGAATAACAATATGAAAATACTGGTCACTGAGCTAACTAATTCATACACAAAATGTTGAACTCTGAGTGAACTTTAATTAAAAGTTATTATAGGTTAATTGTCAACTAACGAAATTAAAACTTGATAATTACAATCAATTCATGAGTATTGTGAATTCCCACATGTCTAGTCTAAACATAATATCATAGTATTGAATAACTTCAGTAAAAATAGATGATCTGTTCGATTTTTTATGATAATACACAAATAACCATAAGTATGACAACTCCTCATTAGACTGAATCAATAAGAATATATTTTTTTATTTGTAAATAAAATAATAAAATTGGGTTGTGGTGTATGCTACTTATGTCGACAGAAATAAGTAGTACGTAACATCTGTCGGAAGTGGAAAACCTGGCAACAGAAGACTAAGAAGATTGAGTTGAAGAGAATAGACTGGAAAATAGAAAGGAATTGTGAACTTGAAGAAATATACAGCATGTTGAAGGCACATGATGGAGATTTAGTGTACTGTTCTTATATTTCAACAAGATATTCTGTAATTTTGTGGTGTTTGAATGAACTAATGATTCCTTTGTACTTGTTGAATGCTTGATTCCGAATTCCAAATACAGTACATTCGTTCGTGCTTATCTTGTACTTCTTGATCCAATTGCGTTATTTCTGGAATACTATAATTCAAATACTCCTAATTATCATAAATTTTTGGTTGACTGTTTTACATAGGAC